AATTCCCCAGCCAGCATGCTGCCTGGGGAATTCTGGGAGTTGAAGTCCACACGTCTTAAAGTTGCCAAGGTTGAGAAACACCGTGCTAGACTGTAGCCTGCATTTAGTAAAGCCACAATCTGGAAAAAAAACCTGCACACAACTTTTAAATATTGAACAAGTAGGAAATGACAATATACTCATTCCTATTCCTATTTCATTCCCCCCCCCCGCCCGCACAATCCTTTTGTCTGCTCTTTTCACCAGCCAGCTATAGGGTTAGCCTCAAAAAAAGCCCTGAAATGAAAGTGCAAGAACCTCTTACCTTGACATCAGGTTTTCAAGGAACTCGAATGAGTCCTTCAGCTTCTTCACCTCAGCCTGGATATTCACAGCTCCCTCTGAAGAAGTCTCTTTTACAACCAAATGCCCATGGGCTTCAATGAGATGTAACTGGATCTCTCTACCTGGAAACTCAGTTTGCAATCTCTAAAAGGCACAAGACACAAACACATCAATGTACATGATACACTTCTGTAGAACTGACATTTAGGATCATTATTCTACTTGCATACTGTATTTAGCTCTGATTCAGTTTAAATTTTGTTAACATGTATGGCATCTGTTTCACTAATATAAATGAAAGAAAAAGTACACATCTGGAGCAAGAACTTTGTCATTTACTAAGAAAAGCCTCCAAATACTATTCATGGAATCTTATCCACTGATGACAGTATTATAAATGAATACCTAAAAACTATATGTCTAAGAACAGAATACTCTTCTGATCAGGCCAAGATCCCCTTTAAACGAGGAATGGAGAATGTACTATCTTAGGGCTACAAATGACTTTTGGCCTAATTCCCAAGAGTCTTTGAAGTAATAACTTCAAGCTTCTGGTAAGAGTTTGTATCTTTGCAGCCTGCCACAATATGCAATTTTGTCAGATCATTAAAGTCCTTCATAGAAAAATGTATGACATTTTGTTTCCCTTGGTGATATCAGATGTGCTGTCAAGAAGTCAACCAGCAAGAAATGGAAGGTAACGAACTACCTATAATATGGCTTCTGAGCAATGATATTCAAGACCATATCGTTTCTAAATCTGGAGATCCCATGTAATTATTTATACTGTCGTGTGAGTTACATATGAATTAGACCTCCACAATACAGGCATATATAAATTTCTCTTGCTTTTAGGTGTTCATACAGCCTTTGAAAAACAGTGTAATGCAAAATAAATACAGTGGTACCTCGGGATACGAACTTAATACGTTCCATGACTCTGGGCGTATCCCGAGTTGGTCGTAACCCGAAGGAAATTTCCCCATAGGGTTCAATGTAAATCCGGTTAATCCGTTCCGCCCTCCGAATTTGGTCGCACCCCGAGGCAAATATCCCCATAGGGTTCAATGTAAATCCGGTTAATCCGTTCCGCCCTCCGAATTTGGTCGCACCCCGAGGCAAATATCCCCATAGGGTTCAATGTAAATCCGGTTAATCCGTTCCGCCCTCCGAATTTGGTCGCACCCCGAGGCAAATATCCCCATAAGGTTCAATGTAAATACCGTTAATCCGTTCTGGCGCCCACGGACCACGCGGTGGGCGGGAAAGCGGCCGGGCGCGGCGTGGTGCGGCGCGAAAACGGCTGGGTGCGGCGGGAAAACGGCCGGGTGCGGCGGGAAAACGGCTGGGCGTGGCGCGGTGCAAAAACGGC